CCCCCCACCCCCGTGTTCTATTTTTATTCCAATTACCTTTCCTAGGCAGGTTTGGCCTCATTAGCATATTCAAATGCATCCATTATTATTTCAGTTAGCTGTTAAGTAATTAAGTCTAATTGATGAGCATTCCCCCCACTTCCCCACATATTTTTTGGTTATTTACATCCGCTTCTAACCAACAATTTTAGGTAATTACACGCCACTCACTCATCTATTTGCACACACTCTAGCACGAAAGGCGGCCTCCCCCCAGCCCCGGAGCCTGGGGGGCTTCCAGTGGGGGTGGGGGCTTCAGGCTGACAGCCTGGGGACCCCCTCAGGCCCTCCTGAGCGTCGCTGCCAGGCTTCCAGGGGCTAAAGGTGTCCCAGGGCCCCCCCCTACTCTCAGAAACCACTTGTCCCAAAGACAGCACCTCCTCTGGGCAGGCCCCTAGCCCCCCAACCAGGTGGGATACACAGGCCTGCAGTCAGAAAGGCTGAGAGCGAGGGGCCCGGCTTCTCCCTGTGTCTCTGCTGTGTCCCCCCCTCCCTGCAAGAGGCGCCCCCTGCCTCAGTTTCCCTGCCTGCAAAGAGGGATCCAGTGACTGCGGAGTGAGGGCTCACGAGGCTGGGAGGGCGCTCAGGGCCTGCTGCGGTCGGTCCAGGGAAGTGATGGATGACGGGTCACAGCTGGTGGGCAGGTGCGGGGGCTCCGGCTGTAAACTTCCTAAGCATCAGCCAGAGCCTGGCGTGGGTCTAAGGCTTCTGTCTGGGGGCCCCTGCCCAGCATCTGGGCCAGCGCACGGTGGAGCAGGTTGGAGCCCCAGCAGCGACCATGGGCCCAGCCAGTCTGAACTCTGAGGTTCTGTCATCTCTGTTTCTGGGTCGGCCCTGCCCTCCGCCCTCCTCGAGCACTGGAAGCCCCGGCCTTTCTCTTCTGTGATGCGTGTGCAGGTGCGCCCAGGGCGGAGGCTTCTGTGTGCCTGGCCGGCGGGGTCTTCCAAATGCCCCCACGTCCTCCTTACCTCCGCTCGCTCTATTTCCACACCACAGGAGCTGCCGGAGACTGTGTCCTGCCTGGACCCCCGTCTCCCTGCGTGTCCTGGAATGAGGAGGTGATGCCCGCAACCCCCACGGGGAGGAATCCACCCACCTGGGCTCTGCAGACGGGCCAGCTCACCGGCGGGCCCTGAGCTGAAGGTAAGGGCCACCTCGCCTTGCGGGCCGTCTGGACAAGGCAGGCAGGGCAAGTCCTGCGACCTGGAGGCAGGGCTGCTGGGTCGTGGGCAGGCCTGCAGGCCTCTGGGAGGCCCACTGTCCCACAGAAACGGACGGCCTTCAGCATCCGACTCTCATGCAGCGGCGGTGCCCTCCCCAGGGAGGAGATGGCCAAGGCTTCAGGGCCCCCTCGGGCTCGACAGGAGGAGCTCAGGGCTTTAGGAGACCTGGGAATGGTCTGAGTCGGCGCGGCTGTGCTCCGGCCTGTCGGCGTCCTCCCCGAAGGGGCACCAGTGCTGTATGGGTTAAAGGAGGTTTTGTCTTCTCCGCTTTGTGGGAACAGATGCAGCGTTGGGTTGCAGCATACACCGCCGTGCCCGCCAGGAGGCCCGTGCGTGTTGACATGCCTCGTGTCTGCTTGCGGACAGGCTCTTTATCCCGAAGACGGATGCTGGACTGGACGCCCCAGTGAGGGAGGGGTCAGAGCTGCCCTGCAGTGGCCGGGGGTTCGGTGAAGCGGCGCCGTGTCTGCTGGGCGCCTCGCTCCAGCTGGAGCTGTCTCCCGTCAGCTCAGAAATCGCGGACGCACCCTCTTCGGTCGGTGTCTCGGTTTCTGGGGCTGCAGGCACTTCCTCGGCCTCTGACTCGGCAGCTCTGACTGGGCTCCTGGGCCTATGCTGTGGGGTGTCTGGGCCGACAGAGCTGGGCCGTCATCTCACTGAACCAGCAAGGGTGCTGTTGGTCAGCCATGCGGTGCAGTGACCACTGACCGTGACTTCAGGTTTGGGGTGTCTCTCGTAGACCGCTGTCTGCTGTATAGAGAATTCTATGAGCTGAGTTTAAAGTGACCATGACCTTACGCTCTGCTGACGAGGCATTGAGGAGTTTGCGAGGCTTCCTCCTCAGGCTTCTCTGTGGCTTTAGATGGAGGCCTCTGGGGGGCGGCTCTGGAGGGGCGCAGACGATGGGGACAACCCACCGCCCGGTAACTGAGGCAGCAGGCGTCTGTGCAGGCCTGGCCTGGGTGGGGATCAACGCACAGGCGCGGGGGGCTGGGCCTGGTGGGCGGGGCGGGGCAGAGAGCTGGGCTGGGACCGGATCGTGGGGTTCAGCCACCTGGCCACTGCTCCATCCCTCATTCTTCAGACAATCATCGAGAGCCTGCTGTTGGCCAGAGCCTGGTCATGGGGGTGGGTGGAGACCCTGCCCCCAGTCCGGGGGAGGGTGAGTGTGAGGATGTCCGCGCAGGTGGTGCTGGGCAAGGCCTCGCTGCTTTAGCTGATATCGCTGAGGAGGTCGGGTGGGAGGACTGGGCTCTGAGAGTCATGGCCACCAGCTCCGTGTGACAGTGGTCAGCACCTGCTCCTCAGGTCCCATCTGAGATGGGATGGGATCCCCAAGAACCCTCTGCATCGACTTGCTGAGAAGTCGAGAAGACAGGACCATCTGGGGAGGGGTCCGCTCTGACCACCTAGTAGCCTGAGACCCGCTGCGGGCATCCAGACTGACTCACACGGCACTGGCGCTGTCCACACAGGCGGTGGAGTGTGGACTCCTCGGGCCTGGCGGGGTGCACTCGGGGTGCTGACCCCAGGCCACCGGCACGGCCCCGGGGGTGCCCGTCAGCCAGGGTTTGGCCGAGGCTCTGGCATCGGCTCAGTCCTTCCTCACCCCGAGCCTCTGCCGCGGTGGTGCCGTCTCCCCAGGGTCCTTGAGCCTCTGGAGCGATCTTGGTGTCGGGCAAAACCCACTCTGCCGAGTTGTGGATGTAAAACGCTGGAAAGGTTGCTCACCACCTCTGATGTCCCATTTTAAAATAAATTCATTGGTGTATATTTGATTTACAATGGATTAGTTTCTGCTGAACAGAAAAGTGATTCAATTATGTGTGTGTTTGTGCGCGCGCGCTTTCCCGCTGGGGTTCATCACAGGATGTTGAATACACTTCCCCGTGCCGTACAGTAGGACCTTGCTGCCTGTCCATCCTGTGTGTCCTAGCTTTCATCTGCTAACCGCAAGCTCCCGATCTTTCCCCACCCCCACTCCTTGGCTGCACAGGTCTGCCCTCTGATCTGAGTCTGTTTCATAGATGAATTCATTTGTGTCACATTTTAGATGCCACATACATGGCATCATACGGCAGTTGTCCTCTTTCTGACTTACTTCACTTATGACCGCCCGTTTCTTAAACCTGTGAAGTGGCAATAATATCCTTCTCCTCCCACATAAGGAGAGCCTCAGAGGGGACATGTCAACCGCCCCACGTCCGGCAGGCGCTCAGGAAACAGAGGTTGGCACTTCCTCCCCTCCCGGCCCCCAGCCCACCCCAAGCATGAAACAGGAGCGTCTCTGGTCCATCACGTTCCATGAACCTAGCTCTTCCCTTCCCCGCAGGCACCTGCCCTTCCCAGCTCATGGCAGGCTGTTCAGGTTCAGGCTCGCCCGAGCTGGTCTGGGCCTCCCCCTGGCTCTGGCCCTGAGCCCTCCGCTCACCCCAGGCTGCGTGTTCCAGTGAGCCTGGCGGGAGGCAGACCTGAATGAGAGTCTGTGGGATGAATGGATGGGTGTTTCCCAGCCCCGCCCCACCTGGGAAGGCAGGTGGCAAAGCAGATGGCCGGCGCCCTGCCCTCATCTGCTCCTGGAATCTGGGGGTTGGGCGGTTGTTCCCAGATCCCTTCCAGAGAGAACATTTTGTCATTTAGTGACTTGAACTTTCTCAGTCTATTCTTGCCTCCTTCCTCCTCTGTTTCCTGGTCCAAAGGCCTTGTCCCTAGAAGTTGCTTTTATTGAAGCAGTGACTAAGAGTCCAGGAGGGACCTTCTGAGCGTTCTGATGACCCCAGGTGACCCGTGGGGCAGGGCCCGCTCTGGGCTGGCCCCGTGTTCAGCACCAAGGACAGAGCCTCCATGGGCCCCTCTGGGCTGCAGGGGGCGGTCTGGGAGCCGGCAGAGCTGGAGCCTGGTGCCCCCCCTGTAAGACCCCTCCCCTCTCCAGGCCTCGGTTTTCTTGAGAAATGGGGGTGATGCTCTCCCCAGCAGAGCCAGCATGACATAGGGGTGACTTGCCACCCAGCAACTGTCAGGACGCGCCCCCTCCTACACGTCCCTGCCCCTCCCCCAGCCAACCCCCCCCGCCCCGCACCTCTCCAAGGAGCAGTTATTTATCTGCCGGAAGGTGACAGGCGGCGGGGGCTGGAGTTGGAGCTGCTGTCCAGAGATCAGTTGGCCGCTGCAGAGCAAACAGCCCGAGCTAATTAGCAAAAGGTCACGCCCGCTCCTGGAGGCCCCGCTTTTGAAGTCAGAGCCTCACACAGACAGGCTGGAAGGAACTGAGGCTTTGAGTTAGTGGCTTGGTTACCAGAATGGCTTCAAAACCCTGCCCACAGCTCATCACTTGACCACCCAGCCCACAGCTCTGAGCTTCACCTTTTAGAAATTCCCAGCGCCGGGGGTCCAGCCACCCACTCCCGGCCCAGGCTGGACAAACGACGGAGACCAGTCCCCAGTCTGCGTCCAGGGCTGGCCTCAACCCCCGCACCCCCTGGGCATCCAGCCAGAGCCCAGTGGTGGACCATCCATAGACCATCCGCAGCAGCCACCCACGTACCACCCCCACCCCCGCCTTCCCCCTGACTGCATGCTTACTGTTTTTCCTCTTAAGTAAATTTACTTTTTAAAAACTTAAATACATTTATTTAAAAGGGAAGTTTTATGGCACTACTACAAATGGAAAACAAGCCTTCTTTTCCATAAATAGAATTGATAATCATAAAAATAAATTCACTGGAAACAAAACAATGTTATTAAATTCTAGTTGGATGCTGGGGCTCAGGGGAGGCTCAGAGCCCAAGGCCTTCTATCGCTTTATTAAAAAGGGAAAACAGCAAGTGTGCAGAGGTGTTCAAGACGTGCTAGCCCTGACCTGAGACTTTCTCTTGATGTAATCAGAAGCGCTGAAAAGAATTAAATTGAGAGTAACTTTCTAATGAAATTGTTCAGCAGTATTTTATGCTGTGTCAGCTCGGGATTGAATTTGGCCGCATAAGACAGAACCCTGACACTTGTGTGGCTGAACCCCACGAAGGCGTTCCTTTTTTTCTCTCGTGTAACGGGTACGTGGTGCGGGCGGTGCCGAGTCCAAGGAGACCGTCAGCAGGTCAGGTTTCTTGCAGCTTCCCCCTTGGCCAGTCCCAGCATTTGTCCTCATGGCCTCCCAAAGGCTGCTGTGCCTCCAGTCATCATGTCTGCATCTCAGGCGGGAAAAGCAGGAGAGGTGAAGGGAAAGGAGCATGCTGGCCAAGTCTGTTCTTGTTAGCGGGGCAACAACTTGAGCCCGTTCTCTTTGCCCCGTGGTCCACGATCGCCTCCTGACTGTTCTCACTGAACAGCTCATCTCTGCTGCGTCCTTGCTTGGAGCCTGCTGGTCTCCAGGCAGCAGCCCCTGCCTCTGTGGTGTTTGCGAGGCCATGTGCGGCACTTGTGAGCTGAGTCATGGAGGGCACCCTTCCCCAGCTCCGCCCACGCCTGGTCCTGCCGCTCACAGGGGGCTCAGCTCAAGGATGCCCCCCGCCCAGTACCGTTTCCCCTCGCCCAGGGCACCCTTGCCACCTGCAGCGGTGTCCAGGTTCAAGGGCCCAGTCAGCCTGTACAGCACTGCCGGGGGGAGGGGGGGCTGGGTCCCCACCCCCTCCTGCCTCTGGCAAAGCCCCCGTTGGCTTTTGTGTCCCTCCAGCCAGGGGCCGGGCCAGGCCACCGGGGGCCATGTCTCTGCTCCCACAGCTTACCCTTTCTTCCATCTCAGTACTTGGGCCTCCCTCTCTCAGACCCAGCTGTCAGGATTTCTGTGTGTTTAGTGAACTGGGGCATCCTTGCATTATTATCTGAAGGACGGACAACTGGATGCTGACACTTGGCTTGGACTCGGGCCCCGCGTGCCCAGACGGTCCAGTGGGTGGCCCACGCCGTCCGCCGGGTCCAGCTCCCAGTCCGGCCGCCTGCTCTTGTGGTGCCTCAGTTTCCTCTTCTCAGAATGAGGCCCGTCATTGCGCTGCTGCGTGTAGGAGCGCTTACATGAACGGGTGTCAGCGCTTGTGATGTCAGACGCCGGAAGCAGTCAGCTGCGGGACTGTAACTGGTTCTCCCAGCCCTGGGGGGCAGCTGCTGGCTTTCTGACATGGAAGCAGTGACGCAGAGATTCCACGCTTGCCCAGGGTCCTTGTCTGGCGAGCGGCAGCTTGTCTGCGGAGCCCGAGTGCTCAGCCCTTCTGCTCACCCCATTTGGCCAAGAGGTGCAGGCAGAAGGGAACCAGCTCCACGACTGACCCCTCTCTCGACTTCGGCCTGGACTCCCGGCCCTGGGGCTGTGACCGGCCTGATGTCCTGGGTGGGGGCCCAGAGGAGCCCCCGGGAGAGGGTCAGGACGGCCAGGCCCTTTCCCCGCTTCTGCCGTGACCTTGCCGTGTGACCCAGGGAAAATTCCTCGCCCTCTCTGAGCCTCAGAGAGCAGAGGCCAGAGCGGGGAGGCTCCCTCGGAGAGAATCCTCAGGCTGGCTGGGAGGGCACCTTGCTGGACGCTTCACCCGTGCGCCCCGCCTCCCTGCAGACTGCCTGGCGCGTAGTAGGGGCTTCGCTCTGTCGACCGGGCGGAAGAGGCTGGGGTGTCGGTGCCATCGGCGTGAGGTGAGGACGCAGCCTCTCCCGGGAGCCGCCGCCGGGAGCGTTACGCACCTGTCCGCGCGGTCGAGTGTCACCCGCATACGGTTAACCAGCGCCTGGTGAGGCCGGGCCTGGCCGGAGAGACCCCGGGTGGACGCGGGCCTCCGAGGGGCGCCTACCCCTGCGTCCTCAGGCAGCAGGGTGGCTCCGCCCGCCGAGGGTCGTGACGCCTGTGACGCCGGCAGCCCCGGATGGACCGCGGGGAAGTTCGGGCTCCAGCCGGCCCTGCGGCCTCGCCTCCCCGTGGTGCTGAGCCCCGCCCCCCCGGGCGGGGGGAGCCCTTGCGTCACGCATCAACGGCGTGGCGTCACGCATCGACGGCATGGCGTCACGCATCGACGGCATGACGTCAGGCGTCGACGGCCTCGCCTGACCTCCAGGGATCAAGCTCAGGGCTGGTACATCACCCTTGACTCAACGACCGTGAAGCCGACAGCCTTATGTCCTGACTTGAGACTGGCCTGGTCCTTGGGGCCTGGAAGCAACGCGCAGACCAGACAGAGCCCCCGTGAAGCCAGGGGGCCCTCGGAACAAATCCAGACCCCGGGGCCTCGCGCGACTTCCTGAGTGGGGACCAGAGCCCGGCCCTGGGGCGGGGGCGGTGGTCTGCGTGGTTGAAGCTCACGAGTGGCCCCGCCGGGTTTCCGGCCCGGAGACCGTTGCTCCAGCCGCCCCCTCCAGCCCGAGTGCCCGCACCGACGCCCGCCTGTCCAAGCACTCCTCAGGTGACGGGGAGCTCACACAGCGGTCCATTCCTTTTCAAAACACTTTAAAATCTGTTGTAAAATATTTACGCTGTCTCAAATATTTAAGAAATCTCTAATAAATATTTCACTAATTATAAAATATTTAACGCCACCCGAGGTATGAAGAATGATAGCGTGAGTGCCTGAAAGGGCTCCTCTCCAGAGTGAAAGTAACGCGGTCCCCTCCCGCGTCCGGGGACGCCCTGGAGGGGACAGAGGGCATTCTGGTGCCCCGCCACCCCCACCCCCGAGGCCACAGCCCCCTTGCAGCCCTCTCAGACCCTGCCCCCTTGGCAGGGGCTTTCTTCCTGAGACTCTAGCGGTGGTAGAATACGCAGAACGTGAAGTCACCGTCGCCGCGTGCAGGCCGGGGGCCCTGAGCGTGTTGGTGCCGCGCGCTGTCACCCCGCGGACACCCGCCGTCACCCCCAGGACCCATCCTGCCCGCCTCCATCTGAAGCTAAGTCCTTCTCCACGTTCTGTGCTGACGATCCTCCTGCAGGCTTTTGCTTGCGCTCTGTCTTTATGAGCCCCCGTGACACGGGGGGGTTTTGGAGCCTCAGGTCTGCATCCCCCGTTGTGGGCGGCTGCGCCCCACCTCTGGGGCCTGGTGTGAGTGGCGTCCTGCGTGTGTGCGGCTGGGCGCGGGCGCACACAGCACCGAGTGATGGGATTGGGGTGTGAGGTCAGCTTAGGGCTGAGCGATCCTGTGGTCTGCATCGTTCTCACAGAGTCTGACCCGAGCACAGCTGCCGTGTCCTGCGCCTGAGGTACTGAGTGAGCCAGCGAGCAACTGCGGGAGAGGTCTGTCCCCGCGACGGAGCGGGGAGTCTCCCAGGCTGCCGGCCAGGGTGTCCCCTCCACCTCAGTGGCCGAGGTGTGCGGCCGTGGTCTTCATCCCTGCAGTAGTGGAGACGATGGGGACAGGGCCTTTTAATCTGGTGGGGGGGTCTCCTTAGGCTCAAGGCCAGGTAACTGGGGCTGTCTTCCCTTTGCCTCCTTGCGACCTTCCAGCAGTGACCAAAGGCCTCGGGGCGGCCGTGGGCTGCCCTGGCTCCTCCTGGCGGGAGGCTCCAGCCGTGTCCGCGCGTCCTGCCTCTCAGCTCCTGGACTTGAGAGGGCCGTGGGTGACCTCTCCCCCTGTCCGTGGGGTCTGCGCTCAGTCCTCCCCGCGCTTGGCCGTCGGCAGGAAGCAGCACCCCTCCGCCCGGTCCTCCTCTGGACCACAAGCTGGAGGGGTGGGGCAGACTCAGGTGCCAGGCGCCCTGGCCTCTGCCATCTGCACCCCCAGCCCCATGCGGAGGGACAGGCTCACCTCCGGACACAAGCGTGGGTGGGAACGGGAGAGACCCGCGCCTGCCCGAGCATCTCCGTGGGCAGCAGTGTCTCCCAGTCCCGTTCTCGGCCCTGCAGCTGTAGGGATGTTTGCTGTGTTAGGGGTTGACATTTTCATAGACTGCCGAGGACTGACAGAGCCGGCCGGGGGCAGAGGGGCAGCTCTGTCTGCCACGGACCCTCACACCAGACGCCACCCACCTCGATCCTAAGCTTCTCCACATGTGGTGCCAGGAGCCGCTGTCAGCCGGCGGCTCTTCCCAGACCGGACGCATCCCTGGTGGCCTGGCTGAGGGCCGTGCCCGGGAAGGACACAGCTTCCTTCCACCTATGCTTGTCGCCAGAGCGGAGTTGGGCCCCCTGCTTCAAGGGGTGCAGAGAGAGACCCCCTGGGGCCGGGGGGCGGTCAGCTCCCAGGGCAGGGAGGTCTGGGGACACCGGCTGCTGTAAGGGCCACGGCCTCGCCTCCCCCATGAATCGCATTTTCCCGTCGGTCATGGGGCGGGCCGAGAGGGCTTGTGCCTTCCTCTTGCTGGTGTCTCTGGGCGCATGTGACGTCTGTGTGTCCCCACGGATGGTGCAGAGGCCCGCTAGGGTGTGACCCTGACCTCACCGAGGGGCTGGGTCTCCCTCCCGGGCCCTTGCGCAGCCCTCCCCTCACCGCCCTGGGCCCCTGGAGGCCAGGGCAGGACTTCCCTGAGCGAGGCGCCCGTCCTTAACTTTCCCAGCTGAGGTCTCCCTGCTGCTCACCTGCGCTGAGCCGACCCGACTCCTGTAAACCCAGAATGCACAGAGGACAGGTCAGGGTGACGCTTCCCATGACTAGATGGCCGTGCACCCTGCAAACGGGCCTGTGGGACTTGTCTGCGCAGCTCTCCAGGGCGGCTGGGCTCACAGAACCAGGAGGCTGGAGTGAGATGGGCCCCAGACCGCAAACTGTGAAGATGGCCCAGGAAGGAAGCCCCACAGGGATGTCGCCCATGAACAGTAGATCAATAATCCTCGGTAAGTCACAGGCAAGTTCAATTCCACAGAATATCAGGCAGAGACTCTGCCATGATTATGTAGGATTTATCGAAAGAATTCAAAGATGGCTTAATAGTAGAGCTATTAATGTGATACATAGTGCTAGCAGGTAAGTCATAATGCCACGGGAATAAAGGACAAGAGGCCTGTGATAAAACCCAGCACCAGTATTTTAAAGTAACTGCTAAAAATAGAGCCAGAGAGATACTTTCTTACCACAGTGAAGCGTCTGTGTCTCAGTTCAACAGCCAGGGTCATCTAGGTGATTTGAGATTCTTGATTCCAACTCAGAAACTTTTATTAAAAAATACCCAGCAGTGTGCCCTTTATCACTGTCCAGATATTCTTGACGTAGCAATAAGACATGAAACAGAATTAAATGGGATACGAGAAAGAATTGAAATTATTTGCAGACAATGTGATTTGAGAGCTTAGAAACCCAAGAGAACCAAGTGAAAAAATAATAGGAGAACTCGGTGGAGGTGCTGGGCTGAGCAGAACGCAGACGTACATGGATCAATAATTTTCTTCTGTACCAGCGGCACCTGGTTGGGTAACATAATGAAGTAAACAGTTCCCAGTCACAGTGGCAACAAAGAAACCCTCCCCGAATCCGTAGGAATGCATTTACAAGAAAAAAGTAGGATTATTAGGAAGAACTCTGTAAAGTTTTCCTGAGAGATGCCGGGGGAAACAGCAGTAGTGTCGTGAGCCACGCTGGAACACCGTCAACCTGGAGGCTCTGCCAGAATCAATTTACAGGTTCCGTGCGGCCCTGTCCGGAGCTTGGTGGCATGTTCTGAAGGGTGGGATGAAATGGTTCTAAAAGGTTTACCTCGACGAATGTGCACACGGTCCTTCCCCCTGCACATGGAAGCTGCTGACAGAGGCACAGTGGTTTATGTTATTTTTCGCTGAAGCCTGCTGACACGTGCCGTGTTGTGTGGGGCTTTGCCACAGAGCAGCGATTCACTTACACCTGTGTGTGCACCTACATCTTCCCTCCCGCCGCGGTTTATCACAGGGTGTGGGCATGTCCCAGGTGGCACAGGAGGACCTTGCGTTTGCCCGTCCTGTGGGTCGGGTGCCTGGCCCGGGGCTGCCCGTTAGGAGCTGGCCACACAGCAGGGGCTGGGCACACAAGCCCACGGAGCTTCATCTGCCGCTCGCGTTGCCGCCTGAACCGTCACCACCATCCCCACCCTGTCTGTGGAAAATGTCCGCCCACAAAGCCAGTCGCTGTGCCACAGAGTTTGTGGACCGCCGCGCGCTGTGTAGCTTGCGTCCGCTCAGCCGACTCCTGCTCCAGGCCCCCCGCCAGCCCGCCTTGGCAGCCGCGCGCCTGTCTGTCCGCTGTCTGTTTCATGAACGCTCAGCTGCGTCGCGGGCTCGAGGGCACAGGTGAGGGCTGTCACGCGGTGTTCGTCCTTCCGACGGGCTGAGCACCGGTGTTGCTGCGAACGGCGTTACCTCCTCCCTCTCGCGGTGGAGCAGGCTTGCGTTGTGGACGTGTACCCCGTCTTCACCCTCTGCTCTCTGATGGACGTGTAGGCCGTCTCCACGTCTCGCCTGTTGCAAACGCTGCCGCAGTGAACACCAGGGTCTCCGTCTGAATGAGTTTTTCTCTGCACACACCCCCAGGAGCGGGATCGCATGGTAGTTCTGGGTTTCATTTTTTGAAGAACCTCCAGACTGTTCTCCATTGTGACTGCACCCCATTTGCATCCTCACCAACCGTGTAGGAGGGTTCCCTTCCCTCCACACCTGTCACTTGTAGACTTTGATGATGGCCGTTCTGACCAGTGGAGAAAGNGGGGGGGGGGGGGGGGCATGGGTGAGATTTGACCCTTCTCTGTGCCCGAGGAGTCCTTCTCTGCTGCAGGCAAGTTGCACGGATGGATGCAGATGTAGGGATGCTCAGACAGGTGG